GCCCCAGGGAAGGGCAAATAAATATTGATAGTTGTGACATTTGATAAGAACCAGAGGAAGCTTGATACTTTATGAGATTCAAGTATACAGGCATTCTCTGTCACTCATGGGAGTCACGGTACGGGCAAGGACTCATAATCTGTGTACCTCTAATGATAAGGAAAAAAATCTGATGCTAAGCAGTGATTTTAACCAAATCAAGGTTTTTTTCATGATCAGCCTACTTCTAACCTTGGCCATTGTGTTGAAATCCTCTAATCCTGCCCCACAGTTAGCATGGGCAGTGGTGGGTGGCCTGAAGGCTGGGTTCAGTTGCGACACCATGAGGCTAGAGAGTTGTTTAGATTAAGTTATTTAGGACCAGGCCACAGTGTCATCAAACATCATGTTTCAAAGAATGTCCTCCTTTTCTCTTTTTTTAAAAATGTATATTTTTTTTTTAATTCTTTCATTCAGCACTTTTGTGAGGGAGGTCCCATTTCTATCAGCTAATGTTTTTAGCAGATTATAAATCAGGAGGCCCAGGGCTGCCCCTGCTGCTTCTGTAAAACCCTGCACGCGAAAGTCCTCTCCCAGCTGATGGGACAGCAGCATTTTTTGTAGCTTGTGTCAGCTCCGTCCCTCTAGCCACAACTATGGCTGCACGCTGACTCCATTCCCCATTGCTTGTTAGTGGCTTTTTTTGCTTGTGCAGTCTTCCCACCTCCTTCTTAGCTCGCTTGCCCTACTTCCAGGCAGGAGGCATGTTCCAGCTGTGATGTTCACGGTCTTAAAGGCACTGCCTTCAACTTTCTGCACCTTTCAAGTTCCAGATATGAGAAGAAAGGCAAGATGCTGCGCAACGAAGGGCAGAGACCGGCAGAGCTCATTGCAGGAGTTGGGAATCCAGACCCTGCTTGTTGTAGAGAGGTGGTGGAGGCAGGGCAGCAGCCCCTTGCAGTTGTTGGGCACTGCTGTCTCCTTCGCAACACCCAGCAGGTTTTTTTCTAGGAGTGCTTCCCTTGGTCTTACACTGCATTAAACCCTAAATTTAATTACACAGTCTGTATTGGCTTCTGTAGCAGGGGAGTGGCTGTCTGTGGGCTAACCCAGGTAATTGTTGTCAGGTAAAGGGGAAATCATCTTAACAATTACATACATGTGAGACATGCTGGTACGTCCTCCTGCAGAGCCTGACACTGAGGGAGAAATGCCTCCTGCTAGTTGGTTATGTTTTTAAATTTACCTTTGGCTCTTTTGTGTCAGCAGTGGAGAAACTGTAATTTCTTGTTAGCCCTATGGTGAAGAGTCACCTTCTTCCACGGCGTGGCACTCAGCTTGCCACCGGGGCCACCAGCCTGCTCATGCACCTGTGTTCCCTAGTCCCGTTCTGGAGGTCCCTGGGTGCACTGTGCACATGTGCATGTACATGATTTTCTCTGGGAGGGGACACAACCTGAGGCTGTGACTCAACCTAGGAAAGGCCGTTCAGCCAGCAGGCCTAACCTGCATGAAACCTTGGGACATAAAGGCATCCAAACCACAATCCCCACAAGGCAACCGTTTGAAGTATAAAACTGGTTTAGTTTGTGGCAGTTAAGCTGTGCATAGATGTGCACTATTTGGACATTACAATCAGTGTGTCCATGGAAAAGTCATGGCTCACAATGAAAAAAAAAACCACAAACCAAAAACCCAAGAACCCCAAATCCCCAACAGTTTCAGCGAAAACACATTTTTACCCGCAAGAAAAAGTCAGTGGAAAATTTTCAGCTGGTCTTAATTGCACGCAGTTGTCTGTAGAAGCTGGTAACTTTCTCATTTGCATCACGTTCTGTTTGTTTCCTAAAAAGGACTGGATAATCGCTCCAAAGGGCTACGCAGCAAACTACTGCGACGGGGAGTGCTCATTTCCACTCAATGCCCATATGAACGCAACCAACCATGCCATTGTACAGACTCTGGTAAGTCTCCAGAAAGCTCCATGACAAAACGATAGGTGGATTTACAAACCAGTTACCATTGTCTCAGTTGTGTTTTCTTTTTGGCAACAGGTTCATCTTATGAATCCTGATTATGTTCCCAAACCCTGCTGTGCACCTACCAAACTAAACGCCATATCTGTTCTTTATTTTGATGATAATTCTAACGTGATCTTGAAGAAATACAGGAATATGGTAGTAAGAGCTTGTGGATGTCACTGACAAACAGTCTTCACACAGACTGTGATTCTACCATGAACTTCCATCCTACCTTCTGCGCTTTCATGAACTACCTGACCTTGGAGAAGAGAAACAATTGATGAATGACCTTTCAGAACACCACATATGTGCCTTGTGCAAGGGCGGGCTGTGGGCACTGCATGCTTGGCCATGAGCAGAACGCTGGACTTCTTACAGACTGGCCCTACACCCCAGTGGCCACTCAGCTCTGCAGAGCCAGGGCCCGCAGAGCAGCAGTGTGTCCCCGTGTGCTTTATTGGGCTGGGACGGCCTTCATCTCAGCTAACAGCCTGGCCAGTGCTTGGATAGGCGCTGCAGTTTTACCAGCACCCAACACCCAACACAAGTGAGTTTTCTGTGGTGAAGGATGAGGGGAGGGACAGGGAAGCTGGTGTAAAGAAAGCAGTGTTAGTACTTTGGACGTAAAGCATACATCTTGTACAAGAGGTGTAATGTAAAATTCCTAGGGTTAGGAATTGCCTCTTGTCTAGGACTACTTACTACACCTAGACTGTTGGTCTCCTCCTGAAACCTGTCATGACAGTAAGCATCTTAAATTGTGCCAAAGCAAATGTTTCAGCTCTCTTATTCTCCAAGCACCGTTTAAGTCTGACGCTGCAAGCGTAAGATGGCTTGGCTGCACCCAGTGTTAGAAGCACTAGCGTGAACTCAGACCCTGGCTGGTTTTTCCAGCTCAATATTTGACTGAGCAATATAACTTCATACACTTCATCTTGTGCAACTTCCTTCCATTCCCCACGCGGAGCCGCCTCATCTACTACCACTTGCCCAGGAAAGAAGTCGGGACGCTTCTACAGCTGTAATTCAGACGTAAGAGTTTAGGGGCCATTCATTCTCTAGCTGGACAAATTATTTACAGGAAGACAGAATGTCAACAACATTTGCAAGGATTTGGCCAACTTTTTCTCTTCAACGCACACAACTAACAAACTGGTATAAAGGATACATTCACAGCGTAGCTACGGTTTGTCTAGCAGAAGCTAATAGCAAATTGTTCTGATCCATATTAAACTTGTATTAAATGCACTTACCTCTAATTCTTGCATTTAAAAGGCTTCTTGTAAATACAAGCTATAATTTATTGCACTTGTCACTGTATATTCATTGTGCTGTACCATTTATAGAAAGATCGCTTTTTTAAAAAGTTTTTATTTAGAAAAATCTGTGTAAACAATTGTACCACTTTGATTTTATACAAGAAACTCATGAGACTGTGCTTCACTAGAAAGTTGTTTAAAAACGTGATAATAAAGGCTTCCTTTAAGGCAGAAGTACATACATTGATCTAATACATCTGCCAGTACAACACTTGGCTTTCACTGTGACTTTTCACCCTTACACATTTTTAGATTGAACAGAATCAAAAGTTCTGGACAGACAGTGAAGTGAAGTACCAGGAGAAATTCACCGATTTAAAAGTTCATGGTTGTGTGTGGTTTTTGGTTGTGTTTTTTTTTTAAAAAAAAGAAAAACACGCACACACAACCACCAATCTACTCCATATGATGGACAAAAAATCAGCATCTTGACAGATTAGTCAAATTAGCCTGCAGGCATCCTCATTCCATGAGTTTCTGTGCACACGAGACGGCAGAATTCAGTCTCAGAATTCAGTTTGCTGTTGTCTCTGTGTCATGACAGTCTCTGCAGTGTAAACTCTTTGGCTTTCAGTTGTGTCTCACACGGACCATCTTACACACCAAGGAACAGAGCCGTGCTGTAAACCCAAAGCACCACAGAGCGCACGGGCCTCGCGTTCAAACTTACCAACGCTTACAGCTTGGAAAAAGGTTAAGGCTCAAGAAAAGTGGGAAACTATTTTACACTACTATAGAACAGCTGAATGAAAAGGAAAAAAAAACTAAACACTGTACTACTTGTCTCTGAGTACTCTGAGTAAGGAGTAGGTCAGCACAAAGTCTGGATTCAGGCAAGCATAGGAAACACCACATCATCAGCTCCGAAGTCTCACTGATCGCTTAATATTAACGGAGCAGTTACAACAGCACCAGTTCATGTTGGCTCTACATAAGTAGAGCATCGTTACTCCTCTGGAGCTGGACGGCAGCAGCCTATGGAGGTCCACCTGACACGTGCACACTGTGGCACCAGTGCTGTTCAGGCACACGTTACAGTACCGTCGCTTCCGTTACGGTGAGGCCTCCCGTGCTGAGAGGATTAACAGCAAACAGCCAACTCACGGTGGCCTGGTATCTTCCCAAGGGTGGGTGGGGGTGTGGGCGTGTTTTCAGCCTCCTCTGACTTTCCATTTCTTAACCAGCAGCTATATTAAGACAGATAGGGTTTAAGTACAGTTGCAGAGGCAAAAGTGACTCAACCACAGCTGTAGCTTTTGCCTTTCTAGTAATGGTGGGCAGCCTGTAAAGGTTACTTTTTAACCAAATCTAACCTGAAGACAAAAATATTCTATTGGTACCCTTAAGCTGGTTTTCTTCATGTATTTTAGTCTCAAAGGAAACCATGTACACTTCACTGCGGGAACGCAGCAATGCAGTAATATTACCAACGCTGAAAATATTCTCAGTTTGCACAGTAACTGCTTGTTAGTTTTCCTGCACACACAGGGTAGCGTGTCTTTAACACACACACACATACATAGAGGGAAGATACCAATGTTTAGTACATTCAGTTTCCTAAAAACAAACAAAATGCCCCAATCCCCTCCCACCCCCAAATACACTATTTGAAAATTAGCAACAATGGAAATCCCTCAGCTACTGTACAAAGACAGCGAGGGACAGAGCATCCAGATTTTTATTACAACTCATCCCTTGCCTGACGCAAGACAAAGCTATGCAGCGATTCAAGGTCTCTCGTCCCATTGTGTTCACTGACTTTCTTTCCACCTCGGAAAAGCAGCAGTGTAGGATAACCACGCACCTTCAAAAGACACACACACAAAAAGAAACTTGTTACTAATGTCCAAATGCACTGCTATCCTTCACTTGTATTTGCCTGACTCTGAAAAGCTACCAAACCCCTCTAACACCATAAGCCATTTTAATTAAAAAAAGAAAAAGAAAACCAAACCCAAACACCCCATCAGCACTGCCAATGCCAACCTGCAATTTCTGAACATTTCTAAGTGAATGGGGTAGTTAATACGTGTTCCTCTAGGCTCTTCCATCAGCAGCTGGCAAGGGCAGCTCCAGCTCTGTCTTCGCTTGTCTGCCTACAAGCACCAAAAGACAGCTTTGTTTCCTCTTTAGGAACAGAACCACAAGGCTGCTTTGGTGCTTTCACGGAGGGAGGCTTCTTAACTTAGTGCCGCCTTCAGCTCTATCCAATAATGAGAAGGACCGGGTGTGAACAAACAGACCAGGAAAGAAACAGTGTCACCCATGTCACCTCTTTTTCTGGCTAACGGAGAACGCAGCTGCATGCTCACCAGGCGCCCGCACGGCAGCAGCCAGCTCAGCTGCACGCTGGAGCCCCAAAGTTTGGTACGCAATACTGTCCCCTTCATTTCGGATCTTTCACACTTACAGAAAATCTGTTGCAGACGTTACGTTCCACAGTGCAGTCTACTTCTGCGATTTTGACATCAGTCAAACCTGGAAATTGCTCTTTGGCAAGGTTCTCCCAAGTTGGAGCCAAGTTCTTACAGTGACCACACCTAGAAACAAAAGAGCGAGATTTGTTTAGCAGATACACCTTCCAGTTTATCTCTACTGTCTTGGTGCAAGAGCTGCAAGTTTAACTAGCAGCCTTTCCCATCCCCTAATGATTTGCCCCTCCAACAACTCCCTTGCACTATTATGTCAGTAAATGAGCTAAGAAAACGAGTGATTTTATTTAAGCACAGAGTTAGTTTCTGGCCTTCGTTAGTCTCATCTGGAATGGTATTCGGGATGTCGGTGCATTAACATTTTACCCTACAGAGGCACATGACGCCAAATAAAGATAAGCACAGAGAATATTTAAATGAAAAAAAAAGCTCACTTAGAAACAAACATCTTTTAAGGCATACGATGTCTATAGCACAAATTTAAGTTTTCAGGTAGCGTATGCCAGTTATGCTAGCGCTACATAGCCCCAGCCTAGTTCTTCAAACGAGATTTTAGTTTCCCTATTAAATTTCTTCCAGTTCCTAACAGCCTCCTTGACCAACATAGCATCAGCCAATGCTGGAAACTCAATTTTAAGAGAGGCATTTGTCAACACAGATTCTGCTTTCAAGGAACATTCCAGTAGTTTAATGCCCTTTTTTTCACTGAAGGTACTCTGAAGTTTAACCACTACCACTGTACTTTCAGGTAGATCCACAATGCAATTGTTTGACAGTCAATAAGCTTTGCTTAGCAGGGATGGGGGGAAATGTATGAGGCCCTATTCTGATTTGCATTAAATAGGGAATCGTTCCATTTACATCATCAGTAACACCAAAAATCCTTTTTCTATTTTATTCACTTATGTCTGTACAGTAATGTGAGAATGTGCACAGAGTGCACATGCTGAAACACTAGTGTCAAGAGAGAAAATTATACTGTAAAATGGCAGGAACCATAGTAAAGTATTAATTTTATTTATATTTTGAACTTGGCTTAGCCAAGTTCCTTTACTGCCTTCAAGAAGAATTCCCAAAGCACTTCAGCCTTTAAAGCTGCATTGCTCATTCTATTCTAACCCAGCTGCACCTTAATTGGATTATTACAACAGCCCCGTAAATACCTCGAGGCTGGATCAGGGCATTTACGAAAATAATGAAAGATGTCTCAAAAAAAGTTTTCTTAATGCAAACCAGTATATATTCAAACCACCTTGTTAATACCCAGTGACAGTACAAAAGCATTTCTGACCATGCACAAAAACTACTGGAACAGGATGATTTTATGCTTAGTCTGCAAGTTAACATTAATATTTATCCAAAACTAACTGAAAGACAGAACTAGCAAGCAACATAATAGTGTTTGCTGAGCCCTACATAAGTTAATCCACTTGGAAGAGAAAAAAGTCATTTATATGCAGAGCACTACAACTGTATACAGAAGCCTGACTTTCAGAGCTAAAACTAGGATACCAACTACATAAATATAGGAAGTATTTTCCTAAATGGTGGCTTTCTGAATGCTGCGGCCAGCGAGCGCAGACTGGTTTCAGAACTTGACTCTGCATCCCGAATCACCATTTCGCAGCCTGCCATCCAACTCTGATCGTACCTGTGAGATCCGGCAGCACCCCGTTAGAATCTCATGGGGCGAGGACATGGTTACAGTGCAGTATTATGAAGAACACCTAATTAAAAATGGAGCATTCCAGAAAAAGTTTCTGATGAGGTTCAACAAAGCCAAATGCAGGGTCCTGCACCTGGGGAGGAACAACCTCATGCACCAGTACAGGCTTGGGGTAGACCTGCTGGAGAGCAGCTCTGCGGAGAGGGACCTGGGTGTCCTGGTGGATGACAGGTTAACCATGAGCCAGCAGTGTGCCCTGGCTGCCAAGAAAGCCAATGGGATCCTGGGGTGCATCAAGAAGAGTGTGGCCAGCAGGAC